TTTAAAAATTATTTTAAACAACTTTTATTCCTTCTAACAGTTAAAGCACATTTAACTGATTTTGATTACCAATCATAAAAAGAAAAAGCACATCCTTACCCTTTGTAATCAATCTATACAAACACTTTTTCTTGCGCCGCATCCAGCACCTGCCGCCCAAAATTCCTTTCATTTTTTAACACTATGTTGTTCTTCCAATACCAAATATACCAAGATATCAATAAAAAAAATATAGGAGCCCATCTCTTAATCTAAATATAAAATAAAATAATATTATTTAAAATTAAAATTTTAATTTAAAAAAAAATCAAAACTGATATTTATTTTTTTATATAATATTATATATTATATATTAGAGTATAACAGTTTTGTATATATAGTGCCCGCACATGCCTCCGCTCTTTTTTTTTTTTTATCAGCAAATACAATTAAATATATACTATTAAAGAGTATAAAAAATACTCTAAAATAAAAATATACAATCTTCAATAAAATTTTAAAACAATAATTTTACAAGTAAATTATCTAACCAGTAAAAGGCGTATATATCTACTAATGATGACACAAGCCCTACTATGAGATTTCTTTATAAAATAAGATTAATTCGTATAACAGTTTCTTTCTTCTAAAAGCAGAAATTAAATTAAAAATAGTTTCTTTAAAGCATTTTCGCCTTTTTGCGAAAAAATGTATTTCCAAAAAATTTTCCGCCCAATTAATCAAAGCGTGACATAGACAGTGTAATTGCCAATAATTTCAAAAATGATGTGTTGCCATTACCGACAAGGACGCAGAGGATCATAGTACAACGCCTCTAATTGCCCACTGATTTCTGAAGGTGGTTTTTTGCAGCCTATATATATGTTATGCTTTTGTGGTGGCTTCATATATGTACTCACATTCCTTTAACAAACGAGAGTGAGAGCGAGCTAGCTAGCTAGAGGAACAAAGAAATGGCCTTGATTTCCACTGAAAACACTGTTTTCATTTTTGGGATCCTAGGCAACATTTCTTCGTTCGTGGTTTTTATGGCTCCAATGTAAGTAAT